GGGGGGTAGCATATATATGTATATATGTATGTGTGTATAAATATATATACAAACGAATAAACAAATGACTAAATCTGCATTCGTGTGCTCTTTCTCGGAGACGGCAGATCCAAAGCGACGAAGCAACAACAAGCGGTCCTCTCTGAAGTGGCTGTACTGATCCTGGACGTATGCGAGCTCCTCTGCGTGCGCGGCACAGAACAAGATGGCGGAAAGCCGAGCAGTAGGGCATCAGTGCCGCCAGGGAAAGATCTGGAATCGGGCAGACCCAACTAGGCGTGCATCACAGCAACAAGTAGCAACAGCAGCTCTCCTTTGCCATGGGCTGAATCTCATCAGCCAGGCGCTTGTAAAACCTAAGCAACATCAACTTTCTGGTTGGAAGCTGCACGCAGCGAACGACTTTGTCCAAGTAACATCCTCGTGCAGCACTGCGGTTTGTCTTTCCAACTTTCGCAGGAACGTGGAATTCCCGAAACTTAGTCGCAGAGGTCGATGCAGGAGAACAGACAGACAACGGCTGCAGTGTTTCGGCCGCGGCGCTGTCCTGGAAGGGGACTGTCGTGGCCTTCCTTTGACTGAAGAAGAGGTGCCTGCAAGGGTCGGTCTTCGGCCCTTGCATGGGAAGCCCCTACTACGATTATTATTATTATTGTTATTAGTCGTAGTAGTAGTAGTAGTAGTAGTAGTAGTGCTATTACTATTCTTATCATTGCTATTGTTATTGCTATTGTTATTGTTTCTATTATATTTATTATTTATTATCCCCGTTTGAAGGACCGGCCTGTCTTTACTTGCGACAACTTGCTGAAAGAGCTCAGAGTCGGGTTGGCACGTGGGCTCCTTCGGGCTGCCTGTGCCTGAGCTCGAAAGATCACGTGCAGAATGGCAAGAAGTCAAAAACATCATGTAAGATCATGCTGACATACTTACATACATACATGCATGCACACATGCGCACATACGTACATACATACAAACGTACATACGTACATACGTACATACATACATACATACATACATACATACATACACACATACTTATGTACATACATACATACATGCATGCGTACATACATACATACATACACATGTATCTACACATACACGCATGGGACAGTAACAGTCACAAGGGTAGTAAGAAGAAGAAGAAGACTAATAATTAACGGAGCCATAATAATACGACAACTAAGGACAATAAGAACTAATAATAACAATAGTGAAAATATTAAAATGCTGAACAAGGTAGTGGTCATAGTAATAGGAACAGTCATGGTTATAGTAGCTGATCATCGGGATATTGGTGGCATGAAGAAGGTTAATTAATCTTCATCTGAACAGGAGTACTCACATAAACAGCAATACCATGACTCGTACTAATGACAATACTAGCTTAATAGTGACAACGACAGCCATAATGAATCAAACTGAAAGTCCTCCTTGTACTTTTGGCCAGGTGCTACTATTTGCCTTGCTCTCGGGCTTGGGGTCGCTCCGCTCGAGCAGGACTGTCTGGTGATCTGCGGCCTGCGCCGTGGCGCACTCTCCAGACCTTCAAGCCTAGATAAACCTCGAAACTTAAGACCCACGACCCTTACGTGCTAAACCCTGAAACTCCAGAAACGACTGCAGCTTGCCTTGGAAATCGTTTGCCGCTCTTGGTGGTGCACCTGCTGTTCTGCAGGGTTTAGGGCTTAGGCTTTGGGGCTTAGGGATCTGCGGCCCTGCGGCCTATAGCATTCTGGCATCTACAAGTCCTCAATCCTGCTGAAAAAAGCCTGTAACCCGGCATTCAAACCATACGGTTTGAGGGTAGTTACGCATAATTGCGCAAGGCTTCCGGAATGAGCCAGACCCTGCCACGCCTTCGCCTGCGGCGTGCTTCTACCTCAGTTCACATGCATGTATGCCACGATGCTCCTCATCAATACAAAAAATAACAAGTCACGATATGAAGAATGTTAGTAATACTGATCATGTTAATACGACCCAAACTACTCGCAATATTGATAATACTACTTGTCCTCGTATACTGGTACTATCAATTCTCGTAATATTCATATCAATATCAATATCAATATGGGAACTGTAGATAAGAAAATCCAAGATTCTGTGGCTGGCTTGGCCGTGATGGGGCGATATGGAGCCGGCTCCCTGTCAAGGGAATTTCAATCTTTGAGCGCTCTGGCTGTCCATGAATGAAAATGCCAACGCACTCTGCTTATTTGTCTACATATAGTTCTCTCTACTGCATCTTTTCTCTATACGTACATCCCTAGACCCTGAACCCTAAAAAATCAACCCTAAACCCTACAACCCTAAACCCTAAAACATGCGCACATGTCCGGAGCCTCGCCAGACACGCCCAGCGAGAGGAGAGCTAAGGGCGCCCAGCGCAAAAGCCTTGTCCGTCGCGGCACAAAGTCAAGGAACAAAGATATAAAGAGTATTATTATTATTACTATGATTATTACTGTTATTATCATTATTGTTATTACTATTGTTATTATTATATTGTTATTACTACTGTTGTTATTATTATTGATATTATTACTATTATTGTTATTATTTTTAATATTATAAAGAGTCTGAGAACTGATGCAGGTTTGTAGGTCTGACTTTTCCTCTCAAGTTCCGGATTCTGCCTGGGCATCGTAGGGCCGCGCCACTGGCCTTGGCTTGCAAAGTGCACGGACCAGGGCAGCGCAGATCCTTTGAAAGCTCTTCCAAGTCAGCCAAAAGGCTCCAACACGGGGGGCGCGGCCCGTGTGCAGGTAATTGGAATTCAAAGAATACGGAAAAGAAACTTACTTGGCTGCGGCAAGGAAGTGTGGAGTGCGCAAGCGTGACCTGTTCCAAGTTCTCAACAAGTGGTCAAGACAGTGCTGCCTCTGTTACGCCGCAAAGTTGGGATTGAGTTGCGGGCAGCTTGAAGAAAGGAACGCAACTCGGCTGAACAGACGACCAAAAAGAAACTACATCTGTAGCACCAAAAGTAGCGAGCAACCGCTTAGCAGCTTCAACAGCAGCAAAGCCCACACTAAGCTACTAAACAAAAACAGTGGCAATCTAGAAGCTTCAACTGTGGGTGAACAGCCCAACGATACTCGGTGGTTTCGGCTTCTGGCAAGTAAACGCATTTAGCTTGCAAGTGCCGATTTTCTCGTCATGACAGAGGATCTAGCTTACAATACCCATAATAGCAACGATATTAACAGCCATACTCGTAACCACAATAGTAAACCCATAATGGTAACCATAGTAGTAACCTCAATGGTAAGAGATATAGCAAGCATATGTAAGCCTCTGGGTTGCAAAATGCCGGAACTCAAAACTCCGACAAGCCGTTTTTTTCTCCGCTCTGCTATGAATCCGCGAGCTTCTTTGCGTCGGCCCTGCCAGGAACGGTTCCAGCGTGAACAGACTGGCCGATTCGCCGATAGAGCTGGGAACCGGGATGTATGCACTGTGGGCTTCAGCGGGTGAAGAGTGAGTGGAAAGTCTTGGGAGATGCGCGAATGCACTGCATAAGCTCCAGGCCACACTTTGTTCATGTGCTCTTGCTGCTCGTTATCCTTCCAAAGTCTCATGACGAAGTCTTGCGAGAGGTTAAAGGAGTGAAAGGCCTTCCGCGTCATGTAAGCTGTCTCGTTCTCGAACTCGTTGAACTCACGATCCTAGTCAAGGGTTCAGATTCAGGGTGCACGGTTTAACAGAAGTGTCACTCAGCCGCCGGTTGCAGAATACACGGCAGAAGATCTTGCACCTGCCCGTCGCTGCACCGCACGATGTCGGCCGGGTCCTCTTTGCGAAAGCCTGCAAAGCCCTAAGTTCTACCGCTCTCTCCCTCCAAACTCGACATGTGCCCAAGGAAGTGGGAAGAAGCTCTGGGCCTAGGCCATTGCACCTGAGCAGCTCGATGCAGGCTCGCAGCTCCTTGGAGCTGCTGAGATCGAACTTCAAGTCCTGGCTTGGAGAGTTCGAGCCCGAAGTCGCGCACTGGGGGCAGAAACTCACATCTCCCCCGCTTTCCTCGAGCTTTCTCTCCAGGACGTCCTGGATGGCCTTCCGGGCAGCCTGGAAAAACGGCATGCCAAGGGGTGTAGCCCAGACGGAACAACACCGGCCTGCAGGAGGGGCAAGAGCTGCTTGCCGCCCCGGCACTTGAAGGTGGCCCACTTCCCCACCTCCCAAAGGGCGCTGCAAGCATGGAAAATATTTAGGACGGGATGGACATCGACGCATGGCACAACCTGACTCGCAAACGAAAGGAGTCGAAATATCCGACCCTGTCTAAGCCGACTGGGGAACAGTCGTGAGCTCGGAACGACTGAAAGGCTGAGACAGAAGTCTTTCTTCAGAGAGCGACCCGTAAGCCAAAAGCAACAAGTGCAGAGATGCTGCAAAGAGATGTTTATGAACACCATTTTTGGGAGGGGTTGTCCCACCATGACATCACACCGGACCGAGCATTGAGGCATACAGACGAGAACTGATCCCTCGAGGATTATACCCAGCGCGACTCTCCGATTCCGAGTCTGACGTGTTCGGCCACTCCACCCCTACAATCCCCCAGACAACTTCCGGCTGATGCCTCGATGCCACCATGATTTGGCTCCAGATCACCGCCGAAGAGGAGCAGAGCAAAAGGGCTCACCTGTCACGCTCACTGGGGTGCCAGGAGGTCCGGGTTCCAAGTAGGAAAGAGGACTCGATCGCAACGGCTCGCTGTGCTTCGTGCCTCCGAGACGTCGTAGGCATAGAGCTTACTGGTCTGCCTGACACAGAGAGACTACGGCGAGGCTTTCGATTCACCTTGAAACACCGAGCCCTGGGCTGGATGGTGTAGTAGGCTAACCACGGGCAATGGAACCTCGGCGCAGCAAAATTCAGACATCAGGAGGACCCGAAAAGAAGTGGAGCCCGGTTTCTAGGCTCCCCGCTGGTCGTGGCCAAACATCAGTGAGTTCGGGTGCACGTTGAGGCGCTTTGGATAGGATTGCTGTTCCATCTTCACATGCCTCCACGCGTCGACGGGCTCACAAAAGCAAATGAAGCTTCCGAGACGGCTTGTGACTCTCCATCCGATGTACACCTTGGCAAAACCCTAAACTCTGCTTGAAACACTCTCCACCGATACACTACCCAACTTCCGCAAGGCCAACCAAAGCATCAACATGTTTAGAATTCCCAGGCCCCAGCCTCTGCAGCACTTGGTAGGTGAGGTACTTGGCCTTGTCCATCAAGATTTGTTGCGCTGTTGAGTGAAATGTGGTACCCAACCATTTCCAACTTGCCTTGTCCATCATGGTCGCACTCTGGAACCTGATTTTCCACACGTCCGTGGACTTTTCTTACGTGAAGCTGCTGCTTCGATGCTGGGGCGTTGACTTCGGGGGGCTCCGCGAGACGTGGATGATGTTGGGGTACAGGCCCCCAACCTCGGATCAAGATCGCCGAAGTCGCCGGGGATCAAAAGAGAAATCAACTCCACGAATCCATGGGCAAAAGTGGCTTCCAAGAAGCCACGGCGGCACGGACGAGGTTCCAGTCTGGAACCTGGCAGAACGGCGACTTTCTGTGTCGGAGTTTCACCGAGAAGCTGGCTCGCCTTGAACCTTCAAGACCCGAAGAAGCTCGTGGCAACCGAATCATGCAAGATCCTAACCATAAAAAAGCCCCTCCTTGTTCTTCCGCTCCCACTCCAAGTCCTTGAAGTTCCCCGGAAGGAGTCCCACTTGGACCTGGCAAATCGGCGCTTCTTCTCGCAGAGGCCAGACCGACGGGCGTTCCAAACAACTTGCTTGGTACACATCTGCCATTCGGTGTATGTAATTTGATGAACAGATGAATAGATAGAGATACACAGTCTGCACAAACAGATTGGTAGAAGGATAGATAGAAGGATAGATAGATAGACAGACAGATAGACAGATAGACAGATAGACAGATAGATAGGTGGATAGACAGACAGACAGATAGATAGACAGATAGACAGATAGACAGATAGACAGATAGACAGATAGACAGATAGACAGATAGAAAGATCGACAGATGGACAGATAGACAGATAGATAGATAGATAGATAGATAGACAGATAGATAGATAGATAGATAGATATATAGACAGATGGACAGATAGACAGATAGATAGACAGATAGATAGACAGATAGACAGATAGATGGATCACTTCAGACTTCAGAAGACAAGTTTTTCATCCCACTGAGGCTCTGGCCAAGGACTCGAGCAAGTGCCGGCGCTCCTTGGGCTAAACTTCGGCTCCAAAGAGCCCTATGAGGGCTCTGCAAGGGCATAGGGGTTTAGGGTTTGGGGTTTATAGGGCTTATAGGGTTTAGGGTTTAGGGTTCATCGGGTTTCAGGGTTTAGGGTTTATAGGGTTTACTAGGGTTTAGGGTTTATAGGGTAGGTTTTTTTTGAAGGCCTTTTGATGACTGCCAAGCTAGGCTAAGCGTCTTCAACCCTCGTGGGCAGGCTCATGGTCCTCTTTGGACCTGGAGCGCACATAGATTTAAAAAAAAACCTTGTAGGCGGCATCATCCCTCATCTCAGGGTTTAGGGTTTAGGGTTCAGGGTTTGGGGTTCAGGGTTTATAGAGCTTTCGGTGTTTAGGGTTTAGGGCTTGAGGGTTCTAGGGCTGAGGGCTCTAAACGCGGTTTCATCAGAATCAAGAGACCTACAAGGGCTTTATTGGGGCTTCGCCACAAGACAAGCCCCACGGATTCTATTCCACTGCTGGCAGTCTAGTCTAGTGCGGCTTATGTTGCAACTTATGTGCTTGTGTAGATAGGCTTCGGCATGTTTTTGTTTTGCATAGTATGGTTCTACATTACTGCTACGAGTGCTAGTTCACTGCTCTTCACGCCAAACCCGAAACTCCAAACCTTAAACCCTAGGCCGGTTAGACTGACCCTAATATAGTACGCTAAATAGTAGGATCCTTATTATAAGGTACCCTAACATAGTACCCTACATAGTAGGATCCTTATTAGAACGACCCCAAAATGAGGTAACCTAAGATAGTACCCTAAATAGTGAGATCCTTATTAAAAGGACCCCAAAATAAGGGACCCCCTAACTTTCGGAGAGTCCCCATTTGTTCGAGGCCAGGGGCGAACATGGAGGAGGCCATCCGCTCGAAGGAGAGCCCCAGCTTCTTGCAGAGCTCCCGCCTTGGCACAAAGGGTAACTGCGGTTTAGGGTTCAGGGTTTAGGGATGTTTAGGGTTTAGGGTTTAGGGTTTAGGGTGTAGGCTTCGAGGGCTAGAAGTGGCTTGGCTTGGGATGGGCATGTTGGGGCTTTGTTGTGCACAGGCTGATAAGGGCGTTCAAGGCAAGGCAAGATGGCCAAAGAATCTAAGGCAAGGTCGAAGCAACTGGAAGCAGACAGGATCGATGGAATCACTCGGGTTACTCCTCGGTGGAGATCCAAGCCCGGAACTGCTTCATGTCGCCGAAGCGCCACTCTTGCACGATGTGAGCCCACCTCGGGCAGCTTCTTCAAACCGAGATCAGACCGAAGAAGGCCCGACGAAGCTCACCGGGCTCTGGACGCGCAGTGGTCACTCCGGGTGCCGATTTCTGCCACCATCTCCATCCTGCCCAAGTACCCTAATACCCTAAACCCTAGGACCCTAAACCCTAAACCCCTAAACCCTAAACCCCTAAACCCTGAACCCTAAACTCCTAAACCCTAACACCCTAAACCCTAAACCCTGAACCCTAAACCTCTGAACCCTAAACCCATTGCCCAAGGTCGCTCTTAAGAGGCCGACGTCGGGCTCCCAAGCTGGGACTCACAGGGATCGGTCTGGCCTGGCGCTTTGCCAGCTCGCCCGCTTGCTGGTGTCCTGCGAACCATGGGGGCAGCCAAGGCTAGATGGGTACTTCTCTAAAGTAGGGTCCCTTCGGGAGTCCTTTTGTTTTAGAGTGCCGTACTATATTGGGGACCGAAAAGGGGGCCCTAATTGAGAGAAGTTACTGATATGGGCTAGATGGGATTACTATAGAGGGTAGCACAAGGAGACTATAAGATGATTCCAAACAAGAACACACATCCCGAATATTCCCGAATACAAGTCACTCACAAAAGGCTGGCACTCGATGGAACAACCGAGCTTCTACATCGATGTGGGAAGAGCGGTGTCCTGAGTCGTCATCATCGGATTCCGCACAGACATTGCCTCAGCAGATCACGGCAAGGTGTGAACGCAAGAATACTACGACCTCCTACCGGACAATAGGAGGCATGGACCACCAAGAGCCCCAACACAACCAAAGAACTCACCCGAAAAAGAGAAAAAGCTTCAAGGCTCCTTTGGTGCCTACGTGACTCTGAAGCACTCCCTCAGTCCATTCCCACATCTACTCGGCTTCCTCAAAGATGACGCGACGTGGAGCCGAAGGGCCTCCGGCTGACATGCAGGCAAGGGGCGGCACAGATGCTCAAACAGGGGCTCGGCCTCGGCTCACTCAAATAAGGGAAAAAAAAATATATATATATATGTATGTGTATATATATATAATATATATGTATATATATATATAACTCCTTAAATTATAGGGGCCTTAATATTATGATTTAAGGCATATATTCCTTAAGTAA